AAAGCAGAGCCCTTTGAAAACCATTCAGCCCTGGAGATCGCAGAACAGCTGACGCTGCTGGATCACCTGGTCTTCAAGAAGATCCCATACGAGTGAGTGATGCCCATGGGTCAGGAAATGTGGCTCTGGTCACCCAGGGCCCCACGGGCAGGCTGGGCTGGGCCCAGAGAGTGCAAAGCCTTCCCAGGCTTTGCCAGTAGCCCGGACGTGGCTCAAGTGCAGATTGGCAGCCCTGTGGCCTCTCTGCTCTTATGGGGTGTCCCAAGGTAACCAGCTCAGGGAAACCCTCCCACAACCATCACACGTTCAGCAAATCCACGTGGTCCCTTTCAGCAGTGTGGGGGCAAAGGCCCTGGGATCTCCATCCTGTGTGATGCAGTGCAGCTTGCAGGGCTAGGACATCCCACCAAACTGGGAAGTAACAGCTGACCTGAGCACTGTGGTTCGCAGGGAGTTCTTTGGGCAAGGCTGGATGAAGCTGGAGAAGAACGAGAGGACTCCATACATCATGAAGAACACCAAGCACTTCAATGATGTAGGTGCAGCTGCAGGATGGGCACAGGGGAATGGGCACAGGGGAGGCAGCTCAGCCCCCTGCCCAGGGCTGGGGTGTGGGGGGCTCACCTGCCCCACGGGCCCGCCTGCCCCGGGGAGCCCGTGCAGTGGAGCCAGTCCTGCAGCTGCTCCTCGTGGGGCCGCAGCAGCTCAGGGGGATCTAAAACCTGCTGTGAGGCTGGCGTGCCCAAACCCTCACTGAATCCGGGCCGGGGGCCGTGTGTCCCCAAGGTCAGCAACCTGATCGCCTCGGAGATCATCCGCAACGAGGAGATCAACGCGCGCGTCAGCGCCATCGAGAAGTGGGTGGCGGTGGCCGACATCTGCCGCTGCCTGCACAACTACAACGCCGTGCTGGAGATCACCTCCTCCCTCAACCGCAGTGCCATCTTCCGCCTCAAGAAAACCTGGCTCAAGGTCTCCAAGCAGGTAGGGGTGGCCCCTCCTGGGGAGGAGGCTTTGCGGGGGAGTGTTGGGGCAGGATGAGATGTGTTGGAAAAGAGTTAGAAAATCGGGAAAGGGGTTTCGGGTGGTTCTCAGGAGGGAGTGGTGTGTGGACAGGCAGACCCTGCCTTGGAGCTGGGTTTATTCATGGAATCACAGGATTGTTTGGGTTGGAAAAGCTCTTGAGACTGTGCAAGTCCAGCTGTTCCCTCAGCACTGCCAAGGCCACCACCAACCCGTGCCCCCACGTGCCACATCCACGTATCCTGTAATCCCTCCACTGACTCCACCACTGCCCTGGGCAGCTGGACAGCCATTAAGAAATTTTCCCAATATTCAATCTAAACCTCTCCCAGCACAACTCCCTTCCCCTTGTCCTGTCACTTGTCACCTGTGAGGAGTCACTGGCCTCAGCCGGTTACAGCTCTCTGAGCTGGCACCACTGTGGGCTCCCACCAGCCAGGAGCAGTCGTTTCTGCTCTAGAATGGTAAAGCTGTGGATGAAAACAGGCGAGGGCAGAGGTGGGAGCAGGGGAGGCAGCGAGTGCCCAGCCTGCTCCCTGCAGCCAGGAGTGCCAGCCAGGGCACGCTGCAGTGTGCTGCAGGAGCAGCCGGTGGGTGAGGTGCCCTGGGCAGGGCGGGCTGGAAGCGCCCCCGGGGCTCTGCAGGCTGCCCCCCGGCCCCAGGGAGTGGGGGTCCTCCCAGGGCCCCTCCCAGCAGCACTCTGCTTTCTTGCAGACGAAGGCTCTGATTGATAAGCTCCAGAAGCTGGTGTCCTCGGAGGGCAGGTTCAAGAACCTGAGGGAGGCGCTGAAAAAGTGAGTGAATGGTGCTTCTCCTCCTGCCCCACGGCTGCTCTGGGGCCTGCAGGCTGGGGGGACCAGAGCTCTGCTCCCAGGATCGTTCAGAGCCTGCTCTGAAGGGTGTCCTGTGCAGCAGCACAGTGGCTGGCACAGTGATCCCCAGGACTGAGCTGCTCCTTTGTGCAGCCTGTGGAAAGATGGGAATAAAAGGGACTGCAAAGGGAAAAGTCACTGCCAGACGCCAGAGAACAATTTTCCCCATCACTATCATAGAATCATCAAATCCCAGAGTGGTTTAGGTTGGAAGGGACCTTAAAGCTCATCTTGTTCCATTCCTCTCTGTGGGCAGGGCCCCCTTCCACTAGACCAGGCTGTCCATGACCCTCTAAAGGTCTGTCTGACCCTCTGTGCTGCCAAAGCTGCCCCCAGCTCATCTCCTGCATCCCGTGGCTTTGTGAGGGGCACAGCCACAGGTCCTGCCTGTCCTGCTGTGCTGCTGGGGATGAGGCCCAGCAGACCAGGAGCCTGCCCTGGGAGAGCCCTCCTATATCAGAGAGAATCCTTCCAACTGCTGACTGCAGAGCTGATCCCTTCTCCTCTATCCTATACTAGAGAATCCTTCCAACTGCTGGCTGCAGAGCTGATCTCTTCTCCTCTATCCTATACTAGAGAATCCTTCCAACTCTGCTGACTGCAGAGCTGTCCCCTTCTCCCCTACCCTGCCCCAAGCTCCAAAGTGAGAAAGTTTTACTCCTGATTTCTTTCTGGTTCACTCCTGAAGTTGTGACCCCCCGTGTGTCCCCTACCTGGGCATGTACCTGACGGACCTGGCGTTCATCGAGGAGGGCACCCCGAACTACACCGAGGATGGCCTGGTGAACTTCTCCAAAATGAGGATGGTGAGTGCTCCAGCCCACTGGGCTGATGTGCCTGTGGCCAGGTCTGTGTCCCCTCAGCCTTCTCCTGCACAGCACCAGGAGGGCACAGGTGTCCCCTGCACACACCTGGGGCTGCTCCCAGTGTCTGCAAGAGACAAAAAGGCCTCTGCATGTGCTGTGCTGGGTGCCCCTGCCCTCCTGGGCCCTGGGCCGGGTTCTCTGGCTGATGGCTGAGCCATGAGCACCTCCTGTGTTTTCTCCCTGCACAGATCTCGCACATCATAAGGGAGATCCGCCAGTTCCAGCAAACCTCCTACAAGATCGAGCACCAGCCCAAGGTACAGCCTTGTCCCCAGAGCCACGGGCAGGCTCTGCCCTCATCTCCCTCTTCAGCACAGCATCTAAGCCTTCAGTGCCTGGCAGCTCCATGCTGCAGTCTGTTGGAGGGGTGGGGGGATGCAGGGAGGCTGTGGGGGCTCCAGCAGACTCCCCCGTGGTCCCCTGGGGATTGCTGCAGAGGGCAGCTCTGGACGGGCCCGGAGTGCTCGAGGGTGCCCCGGACACGCTGAGAAGCAACGATGCAGGGGCAGCATGCCCTCCCCAGGGAGCAGGGGTGCCCTGCCGCCCGCTCCAGCGCCGGCTGCCCTCTGCCCAGCGTGACACCAGCTGAACGGGCTCTGACCGGCTTGGCAGGGTGCGGGTGCCCCAGCTGCCAGGCTCTGTGTGCCCACCTGCCAGGCTGTGTGCCCACCTGCCCGGCCGTGTCTCTCCCGGCCCGCTCACGGCCCGCTCCGTCCCCAGGTGACGCAGTACCTGCTGGACCAGTCGTGCGTGATGGACGAGGAGTCGCTGTACGAGGCTTCCCTGCGGATAGAGCCCAAGCTGCCTTCGTGAGCGGCGCGGCCGCCGGACACTCGCTGTACCCCTGTACATAGCCCCGCTCCCGGAGCGCCCCGTCTGTGCTGCCCCGGCCCCCGGCCGCGCTCGCGTGCGATTCCCCGCCCCGTCACCGTTAACGCGCCCACGCCTCGCTGGAGCCCCGGGCTCCTTTCCATGATGTTACTTTTGTCATTTGTTCCTCCTGGGGGGCTGGTGGTCGGGCAGGTGAGTGCCCGTGGGGCAGGTGAGTCCCTGTGGGGCAGGTGAGTCCCTGTGTCCTTGTGGGACAGGTGAGCCCTGTGGTCCCATGGGACAGGTGAGTCCCTGTGTCCCTGTGGGGCAGGTGAGTCCCTATGTCCCCATGGGGCAGGTGAGTCCCTGTGGGACAGGTGAGTCCCTGTGGTCCCATGGGACAGGTGAGCCCTGTGTCCTTGTGGGGCAGGTGAGTCCCTATGTCCCCACGGGACAGGTGAGCCCTGTGTCCCTGTGGGGCAGGTGAGCCCTGAGTCCCTGTGGGGCAGGTGAGTCCCTATGTCCCCACGGGACAGGTGAGCCCTGTGTCCCTGTGGGACAGGTGAGCCCTGTATCCCCACGGGGCAGGTGAGCCCTGTGTCCCCGCGGGGCCCAGGGGCAGCACACAGCAGCTCTCACTCGGACTGTGCTGGCGGTTACACCCCGACTGTAAGGTGGGAGAAGGGAGCGCATTAAAGGTTGTCCCTCGGTGTGAGCTGCCCTCTCTGTGTGTGCCACCCTGCTGCTGGCCGGGCACGGGGGGCCCTGGCTGCTGGCCCGGTCCCTCCGAAGTCGGGAAGATGGAAGCATCCCCTCGCCTCTCCTCGCTGCATCCGGCTCCTGTTGATATGCTGTAGATCCGTACCCTTGTGCCCACTCTGAGTACCATGACGTAGAGTTAGAGATGACGAGTGTTTTTATTACATCTACTGTAATCCTGGCTAACCACCCGCTAGCAGGATATAGTAATGTAGTGCTTATTCTGTGAATAGTACCTGGGTTTTTTACATTGTACAGTCCCTGACACGGTTCCCCGGCAGTGGCAGGCATGCTCCACTCACACAACACTTGCTGTAAGCAATACCTCGTGGTATGGGAATTCTCTTTCAAGCCCTAAAACTATTTCAACTTACAGCTTGTTTGGGAAAAAAAAAAAGATATTTCCATTTTTTTTGTAAAAATATATGTTTCCTGATTACCTCTTGCTAATAAATCTATTCTATCTCAGGGTGAACCGGGGTTTGTGATAGTTTTGCGGGCGGGATAACGCCGGACCCGCCGGGCCGCGGGCCACGCCCGGTGCCGGTGCCCCGCCCAGTGCCCCGCCCAGAGCCCCGCCCAGAGCTGGTGCCGCGCCCATAGCTGGTGCCACGCCCATAGCTGGTGCCACGCCCGGTGCCACACCCACCGCCCGCCCCGCCCACCCCGCCCCTTGCAAGCCCCGCTCAGCGCCGCTCCCTCTCTCCCCCTCTAGTGGGCCTCAACCAGTTCTCGGACATGACCTTCGCGGAGTTTAAAAAGCTGTACCTGTGGAGCGAGCCGCAGGTAAGTGCTGGGAGTGCGGGTGGGCGGGGAGGGAGGGGTCCAGCTACCCGTGGGGGGGTTCTGCAGTGACCTGCACCCCCGTGAGCAGGTTCTGCAGTGACCTGAACCCTCAGGAGGGGCTTCTGCAGTGACCTGCACCCCCGTGAGCAGGTTCTGCAGTGACCTGAACCCCCACGAGCAGGTTCTGCAGTGACCTGAACCCTCAGGAGGGGGTTCTGCATGACCCCCATGCGCTGCCGGGCCAGCCCCCCTCGCTGTGCTGCCTGCAGTCTGCGGTGATCAGGTCGCATCCTGTGCCACCAGGGCAAGAGCCAGAGGAAGCCTGTTCCCCACCCTCGTGGCTTTCGCTGCCTCAGCCCTGACTCCAGCCCGGCTGTCTGTCTGTTCTGCTGTCAGCTCCCCGAGCAGCTGGGGCGCTGCAGCCAGGGGTGCAGGCTGGCGGGGGCTGCAGTGGCCAGTGTGTGTGTGCTGGTCACCAGCCCTCAGCCTGGGAGGGAGGCTGTCATGGGCCACTGGCCTGGCAGCTGACCACAGCCCTCCTGCCCCGCCTGCAGAACTGCTCAGCCACCAAGGGGAACTTCCTGCGCAGCTCTGGGCCACATCCTGACTCTATTGACTGGAGGAAGAAGGGGAATTTCGTGACCCCCGTGAAGAACCAGGTGAGGAGTGTGTGACAGCCCCAGGGGCTGATGGCTCGGGCAGGCGCCGTGCCCGAGCAGCAGTGCTGGGTGCCTGTGCCAGGGGGGCTCCCTGGGGCTGTGCTGTGCCTGCCGTGTGCCCTGGCAGGGGGGAGTGGGGGCTCTGCACTGCTGCCATGCCCCCCTGCCCGTGTTTTGGGGAGGCTGGTGAGCCTGCAGCCTCTGCAGCTCCTGTTCCTCGTGTAGGGTGCCTGCGGGAGCTGCTGGACCTTTTCCACCACGGGCTGTTTGGAGTCTGCTATTGCCATTGCCACGGGAAAGCTGCTCTCTCTGGTAAGAGGTTTTCTGGGCTTGGAGCCCTTTGGGGAGCAGGATGGAGCCAGAGGGGCTGGAGGCTGCTGGGAGCAGGCATGGGGAAAGAAGCTGTGCTGGCCCTGCCAGCCAGCCTCGCTGCAGGCAGCACATTGGGACATGTTGGTTTTTCAGCTCCCGGAGGATTTGTATTCCTGAAGAACTAGAAAGACAGTAGCCACTTGCACAACTTAGCAGAATAACAGGGTTGGGTGTGTTAAAAACAAACCTGACCTTTGGAAGACATCTCAGGCAGTCCTTGTTGGGGGGGATGGATTCCTGGCAGGCGTGAGGAGGAATGCCCCTGGCAGCCAGGGCATCCCAGGCTGCTGGCTCCAGGTCTTCCTTGTCTGCCTCCCTGGGACATGGAGCCATGTCCAGGTGACTCCCAGGGCTGTAGCAGTGCTGTGGTGGTTGTCACAGCCAGCTGCACAGACAAACCCACTCTCAGTTCCTGCTGTGCAGTTGCTTTTTGTGTCACTGACTGAGCACAGCTGTGGGACAATCACTGACTCAACACCCTTCTCTGCAGGCAGAGCAGCAGTTGGTTGATTGCGCCCAGGCCTTCAACAACCACGGCTGCAGTGGGTAAGTCAGAGAGGGCCAGAGAGAGCAGAAATTAGAGAATCTTACACCCTGTGAGGGACAGCCTTCCTCCAGATCTAGTGCCAGGATCCTTCCACATTGTGGAATGGCTTTTGTCTTCCCATGGCTGCAGTGTGGCAGGGGAAGCAGCTTTGGATTTGGTTGCTTATTTTAATTTCACCCTCCCTAGAGATTAGGATGTTTCGGTAAATCACCAGCATTTCCCAACCTCTGTTGTTCCTCATTTGTTAGTTTTATCTGAGACTGTTCATCAGTTTCACACACGGCAGCCATAGGCTGGGCTCTGATGGGCTCTGGGACAGCAAGGGGACTTCTGGCTGTTGTTGTGCTTTGGTCACGCGCGTCTCGTGGCACCCTGAAGAACCCACAGAAACTTCAGCTTCCCCTTTGGGAGGTTCCTCCTGGCTTTGCTAGAGAAGGCAGAATAGAGCTTTCTGACAACTTCTGTTTTCTGTGAGATCAGCAGTCCTAGAGGGACGCTCAGAGTTGAGCAAAGCCACTCGCTGTGCTTTTTATTTTTCTTGTGACTCCTCCTTAGGCGTTTCCACATCAGCACTCCCTGATCATCTCCCTTTTCTTCCCTCCTGAGAGGTGCTTCTGGAAGGTGGCCAGGGAAGGGAGCAGCTGCTTGCTGGAGATGTGGGTGTCTCAGTGTCCCCCAGCCAGGCTGGGCAGAGGGCACCAGAAAACACCTTTCAGCACGTGAGGCTGGTGCTGTGTGGCCAGCTGACCTCACACCCTTAGGGCTCTGGTGTTCTCCAGGGACCTGGCAGCTGGAGAATGAGGTGTGACCATGCCAGGCAGCCCAGGCAGGGAGTGCTGCAGGCACAGACTGGAGTTTGTGCCCCTGGGGGCTCTGGGATAGACACTGCCCTTCCCTGTCTCCCTGGCTGGTGGGAGTGGGCTGCAGAAGGGGGGTTGTTGATGGCTTTGCTCTGCAGAAGCGGCAGCATTACCATCCAATTCCTCATTTCCATCCTAATTAACTGTTCGCATCCTGACTGAGCCGTGTTGTCTCGCAGGGGCCTGCCCAGCCAAGCCTTCGAGTACATCCTGTACAACAAGGGGCTCATGGGGGAGGACAGCTACCCCTACCGGGCCAAGGTACTGCAGCACAGCCCCGGCCCCCGTGGGGGCTCAGCAGGGCTGGCACAGCCCCCACAGCTCCCCTCTGTCCCCACAGAACGGCACCTGCAAGTTCCAGCCCGAGAAGGCCATTGCCTTTGTCAAGGATGTGATCAATATCACACAGGTGAGGCCCCGAGGGCTGCGTTTCCAGACTGCCAGGGCTGTGCCAGGGGGAGGTGCTGGGGTGCCCAAGCTGTGCTGGGCTCTGCAGCTGCAGCCTGTGTGCTCCTGGATTCAGAGAGCTGCTGGGCACACTGCTGCTCTCCTGCACACCTTTTGGAAGGTGGCACCAAGGAGGTGCTGGAGCCAAAGCCCAGACCCCGGGTTCCTGCCTGCCTCCCAGAGGGGGTGTCCCTCCAGGCTGGGACAGTCCCAGTTCTCCTCTCACAGCTCAGCACTGGACTCCTTGTCCTGCAGGACACCAGGGTTATCCATCCCCGTGGCCTGGCTGCTGGGCCCAGCACAGGCAGGAGATGGTGAGGATGATGACCCTGGCTCCTCTCTTGCAGTATGATGAGGACGGCATGGTGGAAGCTGTGGGGAAGCACAACCCAGTGAGCTTTGCCTTTGAGGTGACGAGTGACTTCATGCACTACAGGAAAGGAGTGTATTCCAAGTGAGTGTGGGACCCTCATTTGGTGAGGTGAGGGCAAGGGGAACGTGTGGGGCTGGAGTCATGTGCATCCCTGTTTCTCCTGCTGCATGCAGAACACTGCACTGCTTTCTCACACTTCTGTTAAGTAGAAAATAGAAAAAAAAATAATAAACACAGCCTTGATTTACTGGTTCCTGAGGGGATGAGAGTGCAGCACTGGGAGGAGGGCTGCAGGCTAGGAACCTGTCCAGCCTGGAGACCAGGTTGTGGTGGAATGAAGGTCAGCGAGTCAGGCAGCTCCCCACGGGGCTGGGGCTGTCCCGGGGCTGGGCTGGACAGAGGCAGGGCAGCCCCGAGCTGTACAACACGTGGTTAGGGTAAGCCCCAGCCAAGGTGGATTTTCTGTGGTATCAGGGCAGCTCCCGCAGTGCCAGAGCTCAGAGGGGCGGTGTGGGAAGGGTGGCTCACACTGCCCCTGCTCACACTGCCCCTGCTCACACTGCCCCTGCTCACACTGCCTGCACCCCAGCTGGCACCTCGGCAGCTGGTGCTTTTTGGTGTGCCTGCTCCCCACGGGGCAGGTTCTGCAGCACCTCACCAGTGCTGCCACGTGGTGCTCCCTGGGCAGGTCAGAGGAGCAGCAGAGAGAAAAGCCAGCTTGGGACACCAAGCAAGCCTTGAGCGTGGTGCCACTCCGTGGGCACAGAGCCACGTGCAAGGCTGATCAGTGCACTGGGAAGATGAGAGCTGAGCGAGGCAGCTCAGGGGCTGGTACCCAGCAGGGGGGAAGTGTGTGTTTGGAGAAATAGGAAAATATTTTGGAGTAATGAACCCTCAGTCACGCAGAGCTGCAGGGAAAATGCAAGGGAGAGGCTGAGCCCGAGGGATCTGCCCCAGGGAGCTCCCAGGAAGGAGCAGGAGGTGATTGCAGAGGCTTTGCTGGGCCAAGAGGCAGTGCTGCCAGAGGTCAGTGCCAGCCCTGGGCAGGTGTGAGCTGGGAGGGCAGGGACATGGTCAGAGGAACATGCCAGGAGCAGTTATCCTGTGGACTTACAGTCTAGGGTGGATTTGAAGTCAGAGTGCATGGAATAATTGGTGCTCCAGTGCTTTCAGCACAGAGCAGCTGTTAACAGATCCAAAAAAAAGAGAAAATCTGAGGTGGATTATTGATCTTTTCCTGTGATGCAGCTTGAAAATGTTTAAAAATAGATGCACTTGAGATGGGAGCATGTACCATGAGCTGTCTTTCACACCACAGGCAGCAGCTTTCAGCAAGTGCAGTTTAAAGGTTGAAAATTTAGAGGAAACACATATTTAGACCCAAGAGCTCGCTGTTCCTGTGCAAAACATGAAGCAGTGCCCTTGAATTTCAGAGCAGTACAAACCAGAACTGGGAGGCACTGAGAGGTGTTGGTTCCAACTGGGAAAATTCCTTTGCACTGTAGCTTGTCTTGGTGGGCTAGGAGCTCAAAAGTCCATGGATCCCCTAACTCCAGATATGGCTGGTAGTTTCAGAGATTTCTGTATTTTCAGAATTTTCAGGTAATTTCTCTGGAAAATTTCAGGAAACCAGAAATCTCAGGCAACTTCTCTGGAAAAACAGAGCAGTGTCTCCTTTCCGTGCCTTCCCTCCTCTCCACAGCTGGCAGCTCAGAGCACCCCCAGTCCTGTTTGCAGTGTGGTCAGCCCTGCTGGCTTGACCAATCCCGGCTAATGGCTGCTTCTCACAGCCCGCCTGTGTTTGTCCCCTGCAGCCCCCGCTGCGAGCACACCCCTGACAAGGTGAACCACGCCGTGCTGGCCGTGGGCTACGGCCAGGAGGATGGCACTCCCTACTGGATCGTCAAGAACTCCTGGGGCCGCCTGTGGGGCATGCAGGGGTAAGGGCTCTGCTGCCCACCACGCTCTGCCGGGCTGGGGGCAGCCCTGTGCGGGGGTGACACCCACCCTCCAGCTGAAACCTGGCAGCTGGCAGCAGGGGGAATGGGGCTGGCTGGTGGGGACAGGCTCACCAAGCCAGGCCTGGGTCCCTGCCCAGCAGGGCCTTGGCTCAGTGCAGCTGCTGAGGTGCCCAGGGCTCAGCCAGGCTGGCAGAACTGCTGGTTCCCCTGGTGCCCAGGGCTCTCACAGCTCCTGGTTCCCCCGCTCCTCCCTGCTGGTCACACAGCCAGGAGAGCAGCCTGAACAGCAGAGAGATCCCAGCTTCACAAGGGTTCCCAGCTGCACAGGGGGTTCCTGGGCGTGGGATGCAGGTTCTGGTTCACTCCGGGTGTGAGGGGCAGGGAATGGCATTGCCCGGAGAGCTGAGGGGAAGGGAGCACCCAGTGCCAGCCTGGCCGTGGGCAGTGCCAGGGATGCAGGGCGGCCCCAGCTGGGCACCTGTGCGTGCCCAGGCTCAGCTGGCACAGGAGGAAGGCTCCCTCCCAGCCCTTTCTGTCTCTTGCAGGTATTTCCTCATCGAGCGAGGCAGGAACATGTGTGGCCTGGCCGCCTGTGCCTCCTACCCCGTCCCTGGGGTGTAGCAGGGTGCCGGGGCTGAGGCTGCGGGGAGAGGCACAGCCAGTGCCACGCCTGCCCCCGGAGCTGTCACCCGCTGGAAGTGTCACCTGCGGGCAGCCTGGCTGGCACCAGCAGCCCAGCTGAGCCTGCCCTCTGCAGCCCAGCCCTGCTGCTGTGCCCGGGCGTGCCTCCATCCCTCCGGGCCGCCTGGGGCAGGGAGGCCCCACAGGAGCCGATGCAGAGCTCCCCCGTCCCTCGGGCGGCTTTTCTGCAAGCACCGGGTGTAAATTTTAGCCATTCTGAAATTTACTTTGAAGGCAATTTCCCCCTTCTTTAAAGGAAGGATGGGTGAGTGCTGTGATTTGTACACTTTTATCAATTTTGGTGAAATGCTTGCTATATTTTGTATTAAAAACCAGGGTATTTTAATGCACATAGAGGAGAAACGGGTGATTTTTCTTTACCTCGCCAGCGAAGACGCCAGAACCTCGGTGCCGATTCTGAGCGGGGCAGTGAAGCCGCGTGTGGGCAGGGGCACGGCCGTGTTGTTTCACAATGAAATCTGTCACTGACAATAAAGCTGCCTCGTCACCGGAGCGCTGTGCGTGACCTCTGAGCGGGCGGGCTGAGGGGCTCGGGCCTCCCGGCGCCGAGCGCTGCTCGGGGTGCGGAGCGGGGCTCGGGAGCGGGGCTAAGGCGGAGCGAGGCCGGGAGGGAGCGGGGATGAGGCGGAGCGGAGCCATGGAGGGGGCGGGCCCGGCCTGAGGGCGGCGCCGCCATTTCCGGAACCATCTCCATGTCCGCCGCCATGCCGCCCGCCCCTTGCGTCACTTCCGTCCTGTCCCCTCGGCCAATGAGCGGCCGGGCGCGGTTTTGGCGCCGAATGCGAAGCGCGGGCGGGCGGCGGCGCGCCCCCTGGCGGCGGGGCGGCCGCGATGGCGGCCGTGCCGCAGAACAACCTGCGGGAGCAGCTGCGGCGGCACTCG